CATACAGGGCTTTATGTAGCCTGTACACCTTTCTTTCTTCGTCATGTTTCACAAACCCAACTGGTTGTTTAACATAGACTTCTTCATCTAAGGGTCCATTTAGGAATGCACACTTCACGTCCATCTGACATATGTGCCAACTGTTTATTTCTGCTAGACCAACAACCAACCTGATTGTTTCGATCCTAGAAACAGGTGCAAAAACTTCGTCGAAGTCTATTCCTTCTTTCTGTAGAAATCCTTTCACCACAAGTCTTGCTTTGTGTCAAGTTACTTCACCTTTCGAATTTGTTTTCACTTTGTATACCCACTTGACATCAATTGCCTTCTTTCCTTGAGGCAATTCGACAAGTGACCAAGTGTTGTTGTCTTCGATAGACTTTACTTCTTCGTTCATTGCTTTCACCCACTTCGAATCTTTTAATGCTTCAGCTGCATTAACAGGTTCGACATCTGCATAGAAAGCATAATGTACCAGCTCACCTTCATTATCTATTACATCATCTGATGTAATCACACAATCTTGCAATCTTACAGGCATGCGTCTTGTTCTTTGAGGTCTGCTTGTACTTGGTATATCTGCTGGTTCCTCTTGTCGAACTTCTCTTTCGACTTGAGTTTCTGGCTCTTCGAATAGGATTCCCACTGAATCTTTCTTGACATTTGCAGTCCAATCCCATTCTTTAAACTCATCTATGATCACGTCCCTGCTGATCACAATCTTTTTGTTCTCTGGATCGAACAACTTGTAGCCTCCTGTCGAATGATATCCAACTAGGATCATTTGACTTGACTTGTCATCAAGTTTTCTTCTCAACTGATCTGGCACATGTCTATGTGCAATAGATCCAAATACCTTCAGATGACTCAAGCTAGGCTTCACACCAGACCAACATTCTTCTGGAGTAATTCCTTCTAGCTTCTTTGTAGGACATCTGTTCAAAATGTATGTTGCAGTCGAAACAGCTTCACCCCAAAACTCTTTAGGTAAACTCTTGCCTTTCAACATACTTCTCACCATATTCATGATGGTTCGATTTTTCCTTTTTGCAATTCCATTTTGCTGTGGAGTATAGGGTGGCACCACCTCATGCACAATCCCTTCCTTTTCACATAATCTGTTGAAGTCTTTCGACACATATTCTCCACCACCATCAGTTCTCAAAACTTTGAGCTTTCGACCACTTTGTCTTTCGACCATAGACTTAAACCTGGTAAATACTTCAATCACTTCACTTTTCTTCTTGATCAGGTAAGTCCATAGCTTTCGACTGAAATCATCTATGAATGTAACAAAGTATTTGTTACCTCCCATCGAATCCACCTGGATTGGTCCACATACATCAGAGTATATGACTTCAAGACTAGCCTTCGATCTGCTTCCTGCATCCTTGCTGAAGCTATTCTTGTGTTGCTTCGCTTGCACACATTCTTCACATACTTCGTTTGGAATATCAATTTCAGGCAATCCTGAAACCATATTTCTTCTCTTCAAATCTCTGATGTCTCTGAAGTTGAGATGGCCTAGTCTATAATTCCATATCCATTCATCTCTGCTAGCTGCAGTCGAAAGGCACTTGTGCTCCATCACATTTAGTTCAATCTTGAAGGTTCGATTCTGAGACATAAAAGCCTTCAAGATTAATCTCCCATTTGCATCAACGACTCTCATCAACTTATCTTCGATTGACATTTTATAATTCTTTTCGACCAACTGCCCTATACTGAGCAAATTGCTCTTCATGCCTGGTATGTACAATACATTGGAAATTACTGACCTCTTGCCATCTTTCCTCATAATCATAACATCACCAATACCTTCAGCTGCTAGGGTATTGTCATTTGCAAATTTTACCATATTTTTCATTGAGGGTTTTATATTGACGAACCAGTCTTTCCTTCCAGACATATGTGATGAACATCCTGAATCCAAGTACCATTGGTCCTTGAATCTATCTTCATCTTTTGTTGTGACCATCAACATCATCTCTTCTTCTTCATGTTTTGCAAGCTTTGCATCACTTTCTTGATTCTTTCGTTTTTCTGGACAATCACTCGAATAGTGTCCATATTTCTGACAATTGTAACATTGAATGTGACTCTTATCAGGTTTTCGACCACCACCTCTTCCTCTATTTGCAACACCACCTCTTTGGTTGCCTTGGTATGGTCTTCTTTGATTCGACACGTCTCCTTCGATTTGGTTTCCTCTACCATTCGATTTGTTGTAGTCACCTCTATCTCTGTCGAAACACTTTCCTTTGCCTTTGGTCTCTTTTGCTGAATGTACCTGCAAGGCCACATCACTCTTCGATTTTCCTGCATCTCTTTCATTCATTCTTTGTTCATGAGATTCAAGCGTCCCTTGAAGCTCTTTCTTTGTCAATTTCGACAAGTATTTCCCCTCTTCTATCGCCACCACTATGTGGTCGAACTTAAGAGCTAAAGATCTCAAGATCTTCGACACAACAACTCTTGTTGTTAATGCTTCTCCACATATCTTGATTTGATTTACTAGTTTTGTAACTCTAGTGAAGAAATCAGATATGTTTTCACTGTCTTCCATCTGAAGCAGTTCATAGGTTCTTTTGTGAGTTTGTAACCTCACTTCTTTCACCTTCTCAGCGCCTCCAAAAGACTTCTCAAGGATCTCCCAAGCTTCTTTTGCAGATTCTGAATCACTAATGTTTTCGAAATTGTCTGGGCTGACACATTGATGAATTATAAATAATGCTTTATAACTCAGCTTCTCAGATTCTGTGTATTTCTTCTTTTCTTCTTCTGAAGCGTTTTCGCCAAGCGCTTCGACTCCATCTTTTACAAGGTCCCAAAGACCTTGACACCTTAATAAGACTTTCATCTGTTTGCACCAATTCTCATAGTTGTCAACTTTCAGAATTGGTAGTGTTGCTGGATAGTTTGCATTTCTATAACTTGTCATCGTGAATTCTTCAATCGTTCTTGATTGACACTTCCCTTGAATTGAAACAAAAGCTCTTGATACCAGATGTTGGAAATCCACCAAATTCTACGATGAATTTCTACCATAATGACAATTTAATTATGAGACAAACAAAAAAAAGAAGACAAGACAAATATTTCTGCAGAGTTTCTCTCTGCCCACAAACTGTGAAAACTTTCTTAATCACTTGCAACTGCAAATTCTGTGATCACAATGAATTGACTTGCTTGACTTTCTATCCTTGCTATGAAAAATAGGGGTTACTCCCTCTATTTATAACCGAGCTTACACCCAAAGCCCAAAGCCCAAAATATCTTTTTGTTACTAAATCAAATCAAATCAAATCTATTCTTGACTTAAATCAAGTCTATTTAAATCTAAAATAAATCAAATCTTCTTTGACACTATGAATTACAATTTAACAAAAATCAACATCAATAAAAGGAATGTGAGATGAAATGAGGAAAGTTTACCTCAAATTGCAGCTTTCTATGCTCTCTTAGCTATGATCAAACACTTGAAACTTAGTTTGGAGACGAAAAATTGATGGAGAATGATTGAAATTTTCTGAAAGATTTTTGTTAGGGGGGAGGGGGGGAGGAAGTGAATGAAATAGTGGTATAGAGGACCATGCAGTATATAGCAAAGGTAATTTCGGATATGCATATCCGAAATTACATCTGACACTTTAAATCCAACGTTTAAATAATAAAATGTTGAAAAAGAGATTTTATATATACATATTCAAAGTATTTTAAAAATGTAATTTAAGATACGTTCAGATATGCATATTTGAAAGGTATTTTTGAATTTTCAAATATATTTTTTATTATATAAGGATGGATTAAAAAATTTCCTAAATTTTAATAAATAAGAATTTTGACTAAAAACTTTTTGTGAAAAAAAATAAAAAAGACTAGACATAACATTATATGCCTAAAAATATATATCGGGCAAGCATAAGGGCCAAGCACCTTAATTTAAAATTTTAAACCTCAAAAAAACTTTTAAAATATTTAGTTATAAATATTTAAAGTGATAAATTAATTATAAATTTTTTTTACCCCGATTTATTATAAATCTTTAAATAAGTTAGATCAGCTGCATATGTGACAAAACTTCATAAAAACAATTTTATTATACAAGAAAATATTAAGAAAAAAACAACAAAAAAAACTACGGTAACACAACTACATATTTTTTATTTTTAAATATGAAAAATAATTAAAATTTTAGAAGAAAAAAAAGTGAAAATTCTAAAATTTATTTAAGTTGGTGACAACTCCCTTGAAAAGGTCAAAGATATGTGATGACATCTCATATCTTTTCCCACATTTTAATGCTACAAAATTGGGTTATTGCTTGGCCATTTTGAGTTTTGATCATAACTCCTTGACACAGAAGGAACCAGAGAGAGAAGGGGGAAGAAACAAGAGAAGAAAAGGTTAAAACAAAAATAATAATAAAAATCTAAAACCTTTCTTTTCTTGTTCATTTTCCTTCTCCATATTTTGCATTAAGGTCACACACATTTCACATATCTTATTGTGCTACTTGGGTTTATAACATTTTCTTCATACATAAGCAGGTAGCCTCATCTTCTTTTTTTGTGTTTCTTTTCAAGTTTTTTTTTTTGTTAATGATAATAAAAATTGTAATTAGTAAAATTGATGTGATGATTGAAATTGTAATATAGTATTTAAAATTTACAAAACTTCAAAATAATTATTAAAATAAAAAAATTTCATTCACAAAATTTTTTTGTATCATACAATTTCGCCAATGAATTTTTTTTTTAGAAAGACTATTATAACGAAAGATTTTGAATTTTATATATTGTTTTAGAATTTCGATAATTTGATTAAGTATATTGTCTGAAATTTGAATGATAAATCCATAATTTAGTATTAAAAAATGTTGCCAAGTTGGAATAATTTGAAATGAGTAATGTGCAAAAAAATAATTTTCAGGTCATATTCAAGAATTTCAGAGGCTAATCAAAGAAGTGAAATTATTGATCCATAAAAGAAAAGAAACAATGTCACAAAGCACATTAAGAAGAGCCATTGGAGCAGTGAAGGACCAAACAAGCATAAGCCTAGCAAAAGTTGGAAGCAGCGCTTCACTAGGTGACCTTGAAGTTGCCATTGTAAAAGCAACAAAACACACTGAAAATCCTGCGAACGAGAAACACGTTAGGGAGATTCTAAGCCTAACGTGTTACTCGAGCGCGTTTATAAGTGCTTGTGTCAACACTCTGGCTAAGCGCTTGAGTAAAACGAGTAATTGGACGGTTGCTTTGAAAACACTTATTTTGATTCAAAGGTTGACATCTGAAGGTGATCCTGCTTATGAACAAGAGATATTCTTCTCAACTAGACGTGGAACTCGACTTCTAAACATGTGTGATTTTAGGGACAAGTCTAAGTCTAATTCGTGGGATTACTCTTCATTTGTTCGCACGTATGCGTTGTATCTAGATGAAAGACTTGAGTATAAGATGCAACGTAGACGTGGAAGAAGTGGTAGGTTTTCGTATGAGGAAGACGATGAAGAACAATCAAGGGAAAAAGAAAGAAATAGAGAAAGAGATAAAAATGGAGAAATTGTTGTGAAATCAATACCATTGTGTGAAATGAAGACGGAACAACTCTTTTCCGAAATGCAGCATTTGCAGTTGTTGCTTGAGCGCTTTATGTCTTGTCGTCCCACAGGTTTGTTAATATTTAGAGCTAGAGTTCACGTAACATTATTAATCATATGTTGCAACAATGATGTGTTTTTCTGGTATAAAGTAAAAGATGTAATTTTCAAGCATAAGAATCAATCTCATGGTTATTTGAACTCAACAGGTAGAGCAAAGACTCATAGAATTGTGGTAGTGGCACTCTACCCAATTGTGAAGGAAAGTTTTCAAATATATCATGACATTACACAAATACTAGGTATCTTCATTCACCGTTTCACCGAGATGGAAATACAAGAATGTTATAAGGTGTATGACATTTTCTGTCGCATAGGAAAACAATTGGATGAACTCGACTTGTTTTATGTCTGGTCTAAATGTATTGGAATTGGACGTTCTTCTGAGTATCCACATATTGAAAAAGTCACAACAAAGAATTTGGAACTCGTTGATCAATTCATCAGAGACAGATCACCACTAAAAGAGAAAATGAATACACAAGAAAAACAAGAAGAAAAACAAGTAGAAGTAGAATCGGATATCAATGAAATCAAAGCACTTCCACCACCGGAAGGATTCAATGAAGAACCGATAAAGGAAGTCGTGAAGGAAGAGACGGAACAAGAACAGGAGATAAAGGAAGAAAAAATAGTTCAAACAGAAGGTGATTTGTTAGGTTTAGGAGAAAATATGATGACAAAAGAAGATTATAATGAAAACAAACTAGCCTTAGCATTATTTGATGGTGAATTATCAACAACACAAGCTCTTCCATGGCATGCTTTTGATGATGAATCTGATTGGGAAACATCACTAGTTCAATCAAGTAGTAACTTACCAAATCAGAAACCATCATTAGGTGGTGGATTCGACACATTGTTATTGGATAGCATGTATGAGCAATCATCAACAAGAAATAATGTAGCAACAATGCAAGGAGTGAATGGTTATGGAAGTGCTAGTAGTGTTGCAAGAGTTTCAGCAGCACCAATGTTAGCATTGCCGGCGCCACAAACATCGAGGAATGCTTATGAAGATCCATTTGCAGCATCAATGGGTGTGGCACCACCAGCTTATGTGCAAATGTCAGAGATTGAGAAAAGACAAAGGTTGCTACTTGATGAACAAGCAATGTGGCAGCAATATGCAAAAAGTGGAATGCAAGGACATGTTGGATTTCAAACACAACAACAACAACAACAGCCTAACAATTTCTACATGGGAGGGTATCAACAAAACTATTATGGGAATTATTATCATTAACTAGGAATAATGTTTTATTAGTTTGTACTAACCTAACTCTTTCTCCCTCTTCTCCCTTCTTTCCAATGTGAAGTAAAACATAATTGGACAACTATAGAAGAACTTGTTTATAAGCTACTTGCAAATGAGCACATACAATAGAAGAACTTGTTTATAAGCTTCTTGCAAATGAGCACATACAATAGAAGAACTTGTTTATAAGCTACTTGCAAATGAGCACATACAATAGAAGAACTTGTTTATAAGCTACTTGCAAATGAGCACATACAATAGAAGAACTTGTTTATAAGCTTCTTGCAAATGAGCACATATAAGAGTAAAAAAGAAGTCCACTATATTATTAAACATAATTATGTTGAGGAAAGCAAGTATTTGTTCTTTGATTTCATTTTCGCGCGTAAAGTTTGGTGGGTTTTACAATATCACCAATATCCAGAATCCGCTGCAAACGTTAGAAGATTAGTGGGATCGGTGCGCTTCTCGATCTAAACAATGTAAGGTTGTTCTTCATTCCGCTATTATTTATATCATTTATTTCTTATGGGAAGTTAGGAATTGGGTTAGGTTTAAAAACATTGCGCCTAACCCTAGTAACACCATTAAGAAAATCTTCAGCCATATCACTCTCACTGGTATGAACACCACTGTTTCTTCCTACTCTTCGATGAATGACTTTCGCATTCTTAAGATTTTCAACATCAAGATCCGGCCGCTAGATGCCCCTTGTATTATTGAATTCTTTTGGCATCCTCCTCCTCTGGATTGGGTGAAATGTAATTGTGATGGTGCTTTTCCTCGCAATTCTTTGATGGCGGGCTATGGTGGTATTTTTTGTGCTAAGTTCAGTAACTTTCTCTTAGCTTTTGCGACAAATGTTCTTTGGACTTCCTCTTCTCTTGCTGAATTCGAGGCAGCTTTGTTTTCTATGCAAATCGCTAAAAGCAAAGATTGAAATAAGCTTCACTTGTCCCTTGGAAAATCCGTAGAAGTTGAGAAGATCGTATATCTTACTATAACAACAATCATCTTTTTGCCTCTCACATATTTAGGGAGGGTAACTCTTGTGCAGATCTATTAGCAAATCTAGGCCTTCTCTAATTTTGTTTGAATCCATTCTAATTAGTTTAAGGAAGAATTTTGTAAATAATAGACTAGATTTACCCTGTTTTAGGTTCACTTCCTCTTGAAGGAGTTGATTTTTTTCTCTTCTTTTTTGTGAGGTTGGTTCCTCTTTTGTGCCTGTATCTTTTGTATATAATATGAGAATTTATTTAAAAAATAAAAAAAAACAAAAAAAACAAAAAAAAACTAATAGAAGTATAACTTTCTCTTTGAATATACATTTTTGGATTATTAACTATTTTATATATTAAATATAATAAACTAATCAATAAATTGAAAGAAGTTAACTTTAAAGTTTGAAAGTATATAGGAATGTAGGATCTATGAAAGAACTTATCTATATTGAAAATAATTATTGACTTTAAAGTTTAAAGTTATTATATCATATATATATATATTAGTTAACTTCTACATCCGATTCATTTATGATTTTCATTTAAATAAAATTAAGTGTCCACTTGATACCGATTACAAAAAAGGGATTTTGATGTTTAATAATATAGAAATTAATTTCTAAATATTTTTTGATAAAAAAATTAAAACTTGATTTGGTACCGTAAAGAAAATCACTTTTATTATTAAAAAAATTTTGTTAAAAATAATTTTCTGAAGAAGCTAATCAAAACAACTTCTCTTTTGAATAGCTTAATGGACATTTTCTTATGATTCTTAATTACCACAAGGAGTTTTGGGATCAACATTGCTCATAGAAATTTCATGCATCTGCATGACAAAAACTAAATATGTCGAGGTTGCGGACAAAATAAGTGCCATTCGATTAAACTAACCAGCAAAAGATGCAAGGTTTATGAAGATGAAATCGTAATGCCTGTGATCCAAAAATATATATCAAGCTTTTGTTTCTGATTTCAATGTCTTGCTCAACTTCCTGGATCTAGATGGAAGCTGTTGAAATATATTATTTTCATCAATTCAGTTTTCAACACAAAATACATGCTGAAAATGTTGTTCAGCAACTTTGATTACACCGAGCAAAAAACCGGGGAAATAAACAATTGAAAATGTAAACTTCAACTACAGTATTTAGCCTGTAAGAGCTGAGTTGAGAGCGCTATGCACGTCAACTCCAATCTGAGCTTCAGCTTTCTCCAAGTCCGTTGTTGCGGAGTTGAGTTTCTGAGTGAACTCTTGAAGACCCTTTTGCACTAGGTCTGCATCAAGTTGGTTCACTGGTACAGCCTCTACAGCAATAATATCAGCAACAGAGTTTGCATGGATGAAAGCGAAACCACTGCTTACAAAATACTTGGTTGTATCAGTTCCTTCTTGTACAGTAAGGACCCCAGGTTTCAACTCTGCGATTGTTGCGACGTGTCCTGGGAGAACGCCCATCTCACCGGTTGTAGCTGGGATTATAACACTGTCAACCTATAAAACATAAATTGTGTCATTTTCCCAGGAAAGAGGAATTAAGAAATTTGTTAACATTGAAATTGAAACCCAAAAAACAATGGAACCGGTGAGGGCGGAGAGATTGCAGCATTAGAAAATAAACTAGATAACCAAATTTGTCAATATAAATAATTACACTGAAATAACTGAAATTCTCAGAAATGCTTTTATTTCCAAACCTCAATACTATCTTGTACTGTGTGAAATTATGAATACTCTTCCATTCAACCCCTTTACAAAAATGTATTACAGCTAGAAATAGCACACTTGAACAAAGATGCCAGTTTAAGATAAAAAATGTTCAATGAAAGTTTCAAAACCAAGTCCTTAAAAGAGATGTTTCCAATACCTAATGTATACTTAAAAGTAAAAATTTCGTCTATCCATGTTAGCCAATGTTAAGTACATTAAATTTTGTCTGCCACTACCAATCGTTAGTTGATCCAGTGGTGATTGGCACTGGACTTGTTAGGGAGGACCACGGTTCAATCCCCGCAACTGCGATCAGGAGGGGGCTGGAACCACTTGATGCCAGAACTGACCCCGAACCGGACTATACAAGTGGTGAAAAACCAAAACAAAAAAAATCCGTGTGCCACTTTGGGAACGTTCTTCTTTTTCTAAATTTTCGAGGAAGCTCAGAATTTTTCTAGGTTTTCTTTGGCTATACTATAGCATGATGTAGCCTTTTAGTTAAAAACAACAGGGTGACATGAGAAGAAAGCAAGGCTTCATGTTCTGTATCACTAAACAATTCCTTCATGAAATAAGGATAACACAATAATGAGAAGCACCCAAAACCCTATAGCATTATTTATCCAGGAAATTCTAAACTCTGAGGATTACGTTAATCCGACAGAACAAAAAACACCAAGTCCATATGCACGAAATACTATATTACATTCTAATAGCAGGTTTTCAGGAATAGATGATAGATGATTCTATAAGATGTCAACGTGTGAAGCAAAAGAAACTAATACCTACTTTCGCTAAGCAAAATAAAAGAAAGCACACAGAACACTAGAAAAGGAATGAGGGTTAAGTTTCAATCCTCAAGCAACTGAAATATGAAGGCAAAGACTTAACATAAAGAGATCAAAATCTTAAATAATAAATCGCAAAATAAAAAAGGTCTTGATCATAACCACAACAACCCTAGAAAATGGAGCATGGGATCAGAACTAAACATAAAGCAGCATTTCTAGAAATGCAAATAACAATCACCACAAAGAAAACTTAACAGCAAACATATCATTGAACTACATCCTAAATTCAGTTTTGTATTCAAAATAAACACACTAGTTTAATAAACGGTATAGCAAGGTGCTGATACCAATACCATTATTCACTATTTTTATGATGAAAAAGAAATTATGATTAATTCAAACCCCAACTACCACAATAACAATCTGTATCTCAACACCCGTTCCAACAGAAATTGCAAAAGCCTTTGCGCGCGACTGTTATTTAAAATCTTACACACACAAAAATGCATCAAATATTGTATCAATTATTTTCTTTGGAGTTAAACCATTACTTAACCCACCTATATACAAAAAAAAAATCACCACGGAGAAAATTTAACAGCAAACATATAATTGAACTACATCCTAAATTCAGTTTTGTATTCAAAATAAACACACTGGTTTATATAACAGTATAGGAAGGTGCTGATACCGATACTGTTATCGCAATCCCAATCAGTATCTCAACACCAACAGAAATCACGGAAGCCCCGTTATTTAAAACCTTAAACACAGTATATTTCCAATTTCAAACCAAATCCTTCACAATTGGATCTTAAGCATCAATCAATCCACTCAATTCAAACCTATTCCACAACAATCTCAAATCACAATTTCAAAAACGAAAAACCAGCAACACAAATCAACATGAAGAGATCGAAAAGGAAAAGCGATACCTCTTTAGCGGCCAATTGAGAATGATAGGGAAGAACAAAATTAACAGTGAGTTTGGTAGGGATGGTAGAAGGAACAGGTGGACGAGTTTTGAGGAATTCGAGAGGCGTCTTAGGTGGATCGATATTGGGGCTAACTTTCCTCCACGCTTCAACGAAGGAGGAATTGGTGGTGGGGGTAGCCACGTCGGTGGAGAAGCGGCGAGTGGCGGCGCGGGAGAGGAAAGTGGATGTAGCGCGGCGGAACATGGTGACGGTAGGGTTGGATCGCTCGGGCTCGCAAGTCGGAGAGAAAATGAAGAGAGAGAAATGAGTACGATTGCGTGAGTGAAACAAGAGAGAGAGAGAGAGAGAGAATAGATTGGTTGCGAAATTGAAAGCAGTGTATGGGCTTTGTTATTCTAAAGCCCGGCCCAATACTGCAATGCTATGGCTTACAACTTGGTTGCAACCCGAGTTTTATCGGGCACATAGAAATGGTTGTTCAAAAAATTTATGAATTGAATCGAACCGTCGAACTGAACTGAACTAAGGTTAAAACAATTAAATTGTTATGTTTAGTTAGTGAACCAAACCATATTACACAAATGATTCTAGAATCGAATCGAATTAAAATTGAACTGAACTGACACTAAAATCGAAACGAATCAAAACTGAAAATGAAAAATATTAAAATTATGAAAGTTAAATGTCATTTTAGGCTTACATTTGTGTCGAGTGGTAGTAGTTGGAAGGTGATGGTTAGGTGTGGGTTGCATAATCATAAACTATCCAAAGATTTAGATGACCATGACATATTGGGTCGTCTAAATGATTATGAAAGGTCCTTTGTGAATGACATAAAGAAGTACAATATGGTTCTAAGGTATATAGTTGTTGCTTTGAAAGACATTGATCTAGAAAACCTCACGAGTGTTACCTGAAAGTGCAATGACGTTGATGTATGGTATCTCTTATTTTATTTTAATATTTTTGCTAATTTGTTTGAATGTTATATAATTTGGTTGTGTATTTGAAATTTTCTTATCAATTTGTATTTGAGTGTTTGTACTTTATTTGTATTTGAGTTGTATTTGAGTTGTATTGTAATTGCTTAGGTTATTGTTTTTATGTACCATTAGAACCCTTCATTACTCAATAAAATAAGAGTATTTGTACCTTGATAATGTTCCTTTTTTAGCCTAGCGAGTTGTATTTTACCGTTTCATAAACGTAGCTTGAATACAAGTTAAAACTCTTAAAATCAAGATGTTGAGTATTTGATTTGAATCATGTACAAAATATGATTTGAATCACAAACTTGTGAAAATTTAGGATTTGCTACTGGATTGCTTTATTCAAATCATAATGTAAACCTGATTAGAATCGCACACTCTTGTGACTCGAATCAGGTGCAAAACATGAGTCAAATCATGTGTCTGTATGAAGTCATATTTGGGCTCTACTCTTCTCGATACGAATCAAAAACTTAACTTGATTTTAATTATGATATCTTGTGATTTGAATCATGATTTCCTCTTGACTCGAATCATGACTTCACATAATCAATTTTACATCTTTGATTTAAATAGTTGTTTCTTTGGTGAAAGTAAGAAGTGAGTGAAAAAACCAAAAATGGTGAAACCCATTTTTGAGACAAAATTACAATTTGTTTTCTCTTCTTTAGTGTGTCTACTCTTAACACTTTTAATCTTTCTTTTCTTTTTTAGAACAACTTCTTAAATGTGAATTCATGTCATATTCATTTTTTTTCTTTTTGTTGCATCTTGTTCTTATGTAATTTGTTATTTTGTTTGATGAATTAGAGAGAGTATGGGTTGATTAATCTTGTTGTGTTGTTCATGATTAATCAAGCTCATGATAACAATCAAGAACCAAGACTATTTACCCAGAAATTTGAGAGAACCTTGTGTGTATTCTTCATTCGCATTCATATAATCCCTTGACTAACGCCTTGCATTTTTTATTGTTTGTGAGATATTCTGACAATGTTCATTATCTTCACCCTTAGTCATTTTTCATTATTGTGGACCTTCATCTCTAAAGATTGAGTGTTGAGGAATACTAGTGGTGCATTAGGATATCCAATATTTGTGTGTGAAGTTTGTTGTTTGTAATAGGTGCAAATATTATTTCTTTAGTGCATGTTGGTCTTTATTGTTATCTATCAAGAAAAGAGTTTCATTATACTCCAAAGAAGACTTTTGCGAGATCAAGTATCAATCACTATAATAAATAACGCTTTTTATGATGAAGCTTTCATCGCACACCATAAAAAATTATGGATACATGTAAGTGGAGCGCCTTGTTTTTTTATAAAAATAATAATAAATCTATTACCTCGGTTTTAAATAAAACCGACATAAATATATGCTCAAGGTTTAAGGTTTGATTCCCACCTTCTGCAATTTAATATTTTTTATGGAACCAAAAAAGCTCCTTTATTTTTTTACGTCGGTTTTCAGTAAATTCGAGATAAAAACTCCGTAATTTTTTATATTTATTTTGCAACCAAAAAGGCGCCATTATTTTGTATAAATTTTACGTCAGATATGTCACCTCGATTTTAAGTAAAACCGAGATGAATACTTTTTTATAATTTTTATCCCCCAAGTGTCTCTTTCATTTTCTTTTCAAGCTCTAGCGAAAGAACACTTCTTTTTCAGCCAACGAAAGAATACTTCTTCTCCAAGGAGACATAGCGAACAAAAAAACTCTCTCACTGTGATACGGTGGGAGAACTGACTTGAGGTTTTGCGTTTGTTTTCGCAAATGTTTCGGTTGAGCAAGAGTCGCCACCGACTTTTTATTTTATCCTAAGGAAAGGTTTAAAAAGCACAGCAAAAACCTTTTTGAGATGTTTTCTTGGGTTCGGGGAGTAGATTATAGAAAGGGAAGGTATTAGCACCCTTTCTATCCATGGTTATCCATGGGCTCTTAGTTACTTGCTTAGATCACTTGCCTTTTGTTTTCAATTGTTTGAAATGGTGCTTGTGTGTGTGTGTTTGAAAATATTTTGAAAAGAAGCCAATGTGGTGGCAACCTTTGTAATGATCCATGTGGGGATGTATACAAAGGTGTATGTCTTTTGAAAAGGGTTTTCATTTGTTTTTTGAAAGTTGTTTTGAAAGTGTAGTGATGTGTGGTTTTTTTGAAATAGGCAAGTGTTTTAGTTTGCAAGATTGATTCAAGTAACTAAGAGGTTATCTACTCCTAAATTTCTCAAAGTTTATTGCTATGTCTTAACCCTTTCAATAAGTTTGTTCCACCATTGTATTTGGTGGACAATCTTATGTTTAGGATGTAAAAGGGACGGGCACGGGTCATCGTTTAGACCATAATTGCAATGGTGCCAAGTATCTTTGGGCATTTTCTTTAAGGGACTTGATCATTTGCTTTGGAAATATTTTGAAGATGTTATCGAGGGACTATGATCATTTGGTTTGTTTGTTTTGCCCAAAGAGACTTAACATGCTATATGGCCCAATTTGAAAGGCAACAAGTGGAGTACCCTAGGGGGTGCAAGTGTGACTTGTGTGTCCATTTTCATGCTTGTTTGTTATGGGAAGGGGGGTACAAATGTTCAAATGGGGGCATGGACAAATAATTTAAACCTAAAACTATCACATCAATATTGAATTTATACAATTTAATTAATGTACAATAATTAAATAAAAATGGAATAAAATATGCAAGGTGCAAAAATATTTTGTATATGTATGAAAAAAAGAAAAGTATTATTTATGTAAAAATAAAAGATAATAAAAAGATATTAGTTTTGGAGTTTTTTCATATTTAGGGCAAAAACCTAATTCTATTAAATAAAATGTATTATTATTTAATTTAATACAAGTATTTATTTATTATGTACAAAAATAAAAATAAAATGAAGTATATTATAAAAAGTATTTTTTATTAAATATTAATGAAAATGAAAAATACAGATATTTTTGTATTCTAACCTAAATATATTAATAAATATATATATATATATATATATATATATATATATATATATATATATATATATATATATATATATATATATATATATATATATATATATATATATATATATATATATATATATATATATATATATATGTATTAAGTTCTAAATGTGTATTATATATATATAAATAATAATAATTTTTAATATGTATAAAAAAGGTATTTTTTATGTAAAATATTTTCAGAGGGTATAATAAAATAAAAAATGAAAATAAAAGTATTTTTACCTATTTCTCAATATTTTAATGAAATGTATATATTTATTTATCTAAGTAATAATCAAAAGAAAAATCATATAAATACCTAATAAATTAAAAATGGTGAGAAAAAATATTTTTATATTTTTTATGTTATGAGAAAAAATAAACAAAGTCAATCAAAAAAGAAAAAGGTCAAAAAGTCAAAGAAATAAGCAAATGGGCCTTAGGGGTGTAAAAGCATTTATGTGGTGCAAATAAGAAAAATGTTCTAGGCCCAGCCCAGAAGACTTGTCTTCAACCTCCAGCAAACAACGTTTGAAAATACGCGCGCCCTGTTCCTCATCTTCCAACTCTTGATTCCTGGCTTTTTAGCAAAAACTCATAACATAAAAAATGTTCAGCATGAAGAGACGATTCTAACCATATGCGTAACTTGATCTAACTCTCTAAGATGAGGGAGAATTTCTCCTCCCCCAAATCCTAACCTAGTTTTTTTGCCATTTTCAAACTCCAAATTCTCACAACTCAAGCAAAAGAAATGAAAAGTAAAAACATGTACATGTTCAGTGGCATGAGTAGAACCTTGTTTCTTTACAAACTTAAAGCTAATGATGCCTAATAAGAGAGATACGAATTCAAAAACTTACCTGTTCAGTTGAAGTTCTGTCTGGAGATGTAGGAACTTTCAGTGCAAGGTGATGATTGGAGAAGCTTCCTTGAGGTCCAGGGATGCTATTCCAATGTTTACTTTATCTTGAAAGCTTCTGAATCGAGCTAGAGAACTTCACCTGCAAGTCAGAAATGTGAAAATGGTGGAAGTGGTTAGAGTGATTACAGGTCGTGCTTTTTCTTTTGGTTAGCTTGCATAGATGGTATGGAAGGTGTGTGAACTGGTTTTGGCAAGAATGCTTGAGAGAAATAGAAGTTGGCACTCAAACTGCAGAGGCAACTCTGTTTTTGCAGTTTGATGGTGTTTTTTGGTTTGATGATGTTTGGGAGGTAAATGGCTCGTGCAATAGCTTGGTTATGATGTGTGTA